GAAGCTATATACATTCAGTGGCAATGCAGGTATCTGTCTTCCAAAAGGTAAAGGATATATTCTGAATATCCCCTCTTGTTGTTGTTCGGTCACGAAGAATAGGTCTTCATGACCCATTTTGGGATTTTTTTGGCAGATCCTGGAGTGGTTTGTCATTTCCTTCTCCAGCTCATTTTATAGATGAGGAAACTGAGGCAAAGAGAGATAAGAAGTAACTTGCCCAGGGTCACACAGCTAATAAGTGTCTGAGGCGGGATTTGAATTCAGAAGGATGAGTCTTCCTAACTCCAGGCCCAGCACTCTATCCACTGTGCCACCCAACTGTCTTGAATATCCTTAACTTTCTTTTAATAACTATTTGTATTATATTGTGTTATAACTGTCTATTATTCATGACTTTTTCCAAAGTTTCTATTATTCTGAAACCCCAGAAATTACTCTTGAAACTATCCTTGTTAATTCTTTTCGTCCTTTATCATTCTCCCGTCTTTGGTCATCTTTGGTCACAAGCAGTGGGAAAACAGCTTGGAATATCAGGAAGTAGAATTAATTGAGAGTCCTGGTTGACTGTTGACTGTTCTGCAACACTTTGGGAGGATTTCATGGGAAGATTAAACATTGAAGGGAAATATAACAGGAAAAGGAAAGAGCTAGCCTGAAGGATATTAAGAAGAAAGTAATTTCAAGCCTGAAGTATTCATGGGGGAGGATATAAAATAATAATTTTTAAAAATCTTTGATCTACACTACAAAAATATCATTGGTGACTTTGCTCATAGCAGCTAAGTAGAGCAAAAAGAGGCAGACATCATATCATAGGGGAGCCAGTAAAGGAATTAAAGAAGTAGAAGATGCAAGTATAAACAACATAGTAAAGGATTTTGTAAATAGGATGCTCAATGTGATCAGTCCCTGAACCAATAGTCTCGTTGGACAGATTTCTTAAAAAATAAAAATGCAGTGGTTCACAGGAGTGTCAGTGTGACTGACTATGGATACAGTTGTTCCAGAAGTAAGTGGCCCATCCCCATCTCCTTCCCCAAATTCTACCTGTCTGTAACCCCACACGGTCTCCCAACATTTACCATGCCTCTTAAGTCCGGGGCCTACAAAGGGTTTCAAAGCACAAGGATGGTAATTTCTGAACTGCTGAGAGGGGGAAATTTGCTTCCTTCCTCTGCAAGGCCCCAGCTGCCCACTCCTAGTTACAACTCTATGAAATATCTCTACTCGAAAGGGGAATCTTGAAAATCTTAGTATAAAATAGAGGAAGTTAGCCTATTTTCCTATTGAAAAAAATTATTGCACATGATAAGAAATTTGGTACATATGTGATTTCATATTTAATATTAATAAAGTGAAATAGGAAAATACTACTAGGATTGGAATTTTCTCTTGTATCTCTTTTCAGACAGAGAATCCAGAGTTTATAGGACAGCAGTTTTGAGAAACACCAGTCTACTCTAGTTGAAATACTATGTAAATGTGACTCAACATAAGATCAGCTATTTTTCAATAGTTCTTGAAGTATCAATAAATTCTTACTACTTTAACTGTCCTTCATTTACAGATCTTTGGACTAGTCACAATAAAGAGGAGCAGAGACAGAGAGAACTCCTTGCCCTTGGACATACCCATAGTTCAAAGAGAAAGAAAAGAAAATACATTTCAAAAATGCTTTAAATATTTTAATGTTTAAATATTTAAAACAAAAAAGTTTTAAAGACACACAAAGATTTAACTGATTACAACCATACAAAGATACATGTGTACCTGAAAACTTTGGGGTTGAATGACTGAAAACAACTTACATCTATTTACAGAAAGCTGGGAACCAGGACTGAGACTGTGAAAGTCTTTTTGTTTTGTTTTAAGTTTTAATTTTCATTCTGAACTTGACAAACACCAAATAGAATGGACATTTCCACATACATCGTCGAACAGAAAGAGAAATACAACTGTTTATGAAACTGTAGATCTCTATTATGTACAGTTTGTTTTTCTTTTTAAGTATATAATAAAATCAACCTCTAGTTTTCAAAGCTGTCCTGTTTCCTTTTCTGAATTAAAAAAAAAAAAAAGAATGCCTCAAGGACCTTTTTTTTCTTTCTCAATTGCTTCCTTCTTTCCTCCTTCCCTCCCTTTCTCTCTCCTTCTTTCTCCCTTCCTTTCTTTCAATTCTCTCTCTCTCTCTCTCTCTCTTTTCCTATCCCCCACCCTTGCATTTCCACAGTCCATTGGCAAAAAAGAAAAAGAAAAAGAAAAGAAAAACAAATCCCTTGTAACAAATATGCATAGTCAAGCAAAATAAATTTCCAATTTTGCTGTGTCCAAAAATGTAGGCCTTATTCTGCACATTGAGTCCATCACCTCTCTGTCGAGAAGTATGTCATACTTCTTCATCATTCCTCTGTAATGTGGTTGGTCATTGCATCAATCAGAATTCTTAATTCTTTCAAAGTTGTTTTTCTTTGTAACGTTGTCATTGTGTACATTGTTGTGTTTCTGTTCACTTCATTTTGCATCAGTTCATAGAGGTCTTCTTAAGTTTCTCTGAAATAGTCCATTTCATAATTTCTTACAGTGTAATATTATATTCTATTATATACGTATAACACATAATTTGTTTAGACATTTACCAATAGGTGGGCAGCCACTTAGTTTCCAGTTCTTTGCTACTACTACTACAACAAAAGAGCTGCTATAAATAATTTTATGAATATGGGCCTTTTTACCCTTTCTTCCATTAATTTTTTTGGTACAATTTAGTGCAATTTAGTGCAATTTGGTACAATTTAGAAAGGTTAAGAATCTTAACCTTTCTGTGACATGGATCCCTTCTCAGAATAACATTTTAAATACAAAAAATAAAATATATAGGATGACAAAGGATACTAATTATGCTAAAATACAAGTATCACAATATTTTTTTTTTAAAAAACAAGTTCATAGATCCCAAGTTAAGAACCCCTGGTTTACTGGTTTTTGGGGCATAGATCCAAACTGCTTTACAGAATGGCTGGACTAATTCAAAGCTCTAACAATAGCGCATTTGTGAACCTGTTTCCTAGCAGCCCTTCTAATTGTAATTTTCCTTTTTTTTTGTTTTCTTTATCAACTAATTTGCATTAATGTAATTAGAGTGATTTGGAGCTTTATTTATATTGTCATTGATATTTTTTTTTCTTTTGAAAACTGTTTGGGCATCTCCTTTGATCTATTGGGGAATGACTTGTGTTTTTATAAATTTAAATTGTTTCTTTCTATATCTTTGATATGAAACCTTTATCAGAGAAACTTACTGCAGAGCTTTTTTTTTTTTTCCAGGCTGAGGAAATCTTGCACAGAGGAGGCCATGGAGAAAGGAGGCAATCCCTGCTAGAGGAGAGGGCATGGAGGGAGGAGGTCTGGAGGGAAAACCTTTCTAGAAGGGATAAAGACGCAAGGGTGAAGGCTCTAAAGGGAGCGTGTAGGTCATACACAACGTCCAAAAGCAGTTTTCTTGAAGACAAGAAGAAAATCAGGCTGAAACAGGAAACAAGGGCAATCTGTCAACAAGCATTGAGTGGTTACTGTGTACTAAGCTGTGAAGAGTAAGAGCTAGGTCAAGTGGTATGTATAGGCTGTGTTCAGAGAAGCAGCTGTTGTCAGGGGCCTCTCTGCCAGATGTGGAGTGAAAAGGATTCCTTGTGACTTGAACAGGATGGGGAGTTGACAGCCTTCTTCTAGCTGGCTTCTTCCAGTAGATAACTAGAAGAGACATGGAGGCGGGGGGGGGGGGGGGGTCCTTCCTTTCCAGTGGAGGGAGCCAGGGGAAGAAGCGCTGAGCTGAGGTCCCCCTCCCTCTTCACCCTGATTCCTCCCACCTCCCCAGCTGCAGATGGGGGCTGACCCCTGCTGGGCGACCTGGCCAGGCTGCCCCAGGACCCAACTGAGGCAATTTCTCCTCCCCACCAGCCCTCTCCTGCAGCTGGAGAGTGAATGTCCTCTACCAGAATTGATCGGTATTACCCATTTGACAGATGTGGAAACTGCAGAGGTTGAGTGACTTGTATGTGGTCATTTATCTAGTAAGTTTCAGAGATAAGATGGGAACCAAGGCTACCTGACTCAAATTCCAGCACTTTTTCTAGTACATAAACATGTAAAAAAGTTAAGCCACAATAAAAGATTTAAATAACGTTCAAGAGAATAGTAGAAGACAACTAATGGGGCATTCCATGATTTAACATCAAATGGATTCTTCAAACAATAATTGCTAGAGGAGAAGTTCAGAGGCAGCAGAGTTCATATTGGAAAGGTGGGGCAGAGAACTTGATAGACAGAAAGACACATATGCAGAGAGCAAGAAGATACAATTCAATTCATTTTATTTCCTTGGATCTCAGTTTCCTTGTCCGTAAAATAAAGGAGTTGAAATAGAAGTGCCTTCTAATTCTTTTTTGGGGGGGCTAGGCAATGGGGTTAAGTGACTTGCCCAGGGTCACACAGCTAGTAAGTGTTTTGTATGAGGCTGGATTTAGAACTCAGGTCCTCCTGACTCTAGGGCCGGTGCTGTATCCACTGTACCACCTAGCTGCCTTCTAATTTTAGATCTATGTCAATTAAATTCAGCAAGTATTTTTAAAGTGCTCACTATGGGCCAGGTACTGTGCTAGGTTTTGGGAGTGCAAAGGCATTTACTTACATTGCTCAAAAAGCTTACATTCTACTGGAGAATAAACACAGAGAGAGAGAGCTGGAAAGAGGGAATCAGGGGGAAGGAAACAAAGGGGAATGCAGGAGAAAGTTCTGAGTTCTATTCTCAACTGTCCCCAACTGCCAGCATCAGACTGGACAGCAACAAGGACAGGTTTGGAGATAACTGGGAGAGAAGGTGTTGACAAAGTGTTGTAACAAATGAAAGAGGACAGAGAGCAGACTACCTCGAGCTTGGGTTTGGGAAGGAAGACATTTCCAGTACAAGGCTCTGTCTAATATACTTTGTAGAAGGCTTTAGTATGAGAAGGCAGCACTGGTTTGGCATGAATGTCCAGCTAGGCACATTTCTCTCTGGTGTCTTCACCATCTTCGTCACCAACATGTACGTTGTGTTTGAAGAGAAGTACATGGGACAACGCAACTGTGTCCCTGAAAATAATCAAGAGAAAACTATGAATAACTTTATCATCTGTTGGAGCTATAAGATCATCTTCTGCTTGTCCATAATCACCGTCTTTGTCAGCTGTTTCCTCTTGTACTCTGTTTATGCCCAGCTCTACCAAGGCATGGTGACCTATGTCGTTTGGATTATCTTTTATGAAGCTGTCAACTCCCTGCTGCAGGCCCTGACCAATAACCCTAACAATGGATCCCCAGTAGAAGTGAGGGTTTTACGCTGGTTTGGCCTAATCTCCCGTATTTTCATGCATGGATTCTGGATGGTTTTTGTGATCAAGTATGTCCACATAGTATACAGAAACCAAATGCAAAGCAATGTCACTTCCTACAGCCGCCGTCTCTCTACCATTGTGGAATCAAAGAGAGAGAGGCCACACTACCCAAATTTCCCAAAACTCTATTACCCATCTCGAGTTCATATAAAATAAGCCCATCTTTTTCTCTGAGAGGCAAGATTTCTAGATACAAGGCCCTTAGCTCTAATTCTTACTCTCTTTCAAATTTCTTGAATTTGAATTTGAATCTTGTATTTTCTAGAATCTTCAGTTTTTCTAATGGTTCTGCCACAATTGGAGTCACTCAATTTGGGTAGAGTTGTGTTTTTTTGGGGGGGTGAGGTGTGGAGGGGTATCATTGGGTGGGTAGAGGAAGGAAATAGTAAAGAAGTTCATATTTAGAATGTCACAGTTAGGTTAATAAATGTTCCCTATTGGCACCTGTTTAGAAAAGTAAGGTGATAAGAAAAAAAAATGAAATAAATACAAGTTACAAGGTACTTGCTTCTATATTTTTACATGTCCACATTCGACCAGTAAAACCACCTTAGAACTATTGTCCTTCTCATTGGTTTTCTTTTAGTCTCCAAATACAGGGTAAAATCATCTGTATCTATGTCCCAATCCACTAGAAGTTACAGAAAGGAACCTGCAACGGGCACACCATTATTCATATGAGGGGACCAGTTTAATTCAACAACGGTTAAGGAATATTTGTTGAACGGAAATTGTCGAATGGAATTGATGAGGGGAGAGTCGTGGGATGATAGAAGAGTGAGGTGTCACAAGGAATTCTAGCTCTCTACTATCTACTTCAAAAACAGCATCAGAAAGGGAGCAAAATTACTTTAAATCCTTAAAAGGAAAAAAATAGGGAGGAAAAGCATTCGAATAAATGAGCAAAACAAAAAAAAATTCAACACAATGAAAATAATTTTCTGGATTAAAAGAAGCCAAAGCAAAAATGCCAGAAGAAAAAATGTACTGAGGATTGTTCTAAACTGGGCCTGACTGAGGTCAGTGCCCTGGTAGTTTAGGATCAGTATTGGAACAAAACGAGATACTCATTCAATAGTTAACAGAAGGAGATTTATTGAGTCATAGAAGAAGTATACTCAACAAAGAGGGGCACAGGGATGCTTCAAGTTGATTCACCTGAGTGAAACTTTGTTGCTTTAGTTGTCCATCACATCCCATCCAACATCAGAAAGTGCCTGGAGCTTCTCCTGGCCATTGTCAGGTTTGTAGTCAGACAACCAGGATACAGAGTCGGGGGTGGGGAGGTAGGTAGCTAAGTAAAGCAGTGGATAGAGCACTGGGCTTGGAATCGTGAAAACTTATCTTTATGAATTCAAATCAAACCTCAGACACTTACTGGCTGTGTGACCCTGGGCAAGTCTTTTAACTCTGTTAGCCTCAGTTTCCTCATCTGTAAAATGAGCTAGAGAAGGAAATGGTAAATGCTAAGCAAACCCCAAATGGGGTCCTAAACAGTCTGGCATGACTGAAAAACGACTGAACAACAACAACCAGGATGTGATGTCAATATTTTGAGCGTTTAGTCTCTTGAGCCAATTAAGTAAGAATGGTTTAAACACATTTTAAGGAAAAACTAGCCTAATTTGCCTTGGAGCAGAGGTTAAGAGATATTGTTCCTACTTCCTCCAACCTGTTGATGGTGAGATCCTTAAGATCTATTTTTTTTTCTTTTAAGGTTTTGAGGTAATTTTGCTCCCCTTCTGGTACTTGTGTTGCTATTTTTATGGTATGTAGAAGAAAGCTAGGCTTCCTTGTGACCTCTCACTCTATCATCCCATCTATCCCTTACGGGACTTTAAATAGCTAACCCTGAACTCAGTTATTCAAGAAGTCTGCTGTAGGCTGCACTAAAGTTTATAGTTCACAGTTGGTCTCTCAATGTAAAAAAAATGATCACAAGTAGTAGAAACACCAGCAGCATTAGGGCTACAATAAAGATAATGACACCTGCTGTACAGTCACCAATCCTCATCCGGGATCAGGGACAAAAGTCTTATACCACCAGCCCCTTAGTTCCCAAGCCCATTAACCAGGACCTTCTTCTCCCTGGGAGTCATATGGTGGGGATGGGGGTTAGGGAGAGAGATAGAACACAAAATTATCACCGAGGGATTGATCAAACACTTTCATTTCCCTCTTGCTGCCAGAAAGCAAGCCAATAATGCCAGCCCTTGGACCTTTAAACTCTCCCTGGGAAAAGCAGCAATGTGAAAGGGCCAATTCGTTCTATATTATAGGAAACAGGAGCTTCAGTAACGTTATCTTTTGCCAACTCTTATGCTGACTGGGCTGCTATTCCCACTAGGAGTTAATTCTTCTATCTGCTCTGCTGTTGGGGTCCAAGCCTCTGCCCCTCCACCCCCCACCCTCCCCAGTCACTGATGCTTGCTGCCCTGCCTTCCCTACTACTGCCCTCCTATGCTTGGCTCTGCTCTCTGATGCTGGGCCAACTGCTGCAGGCCAGTGTCACTGCCCCCAAGCTGACCCAACACAATGGATCAGGTCAGGAACCGCTACATGGGATGGGTCAGGAAATTCCAAAGGGTCTAGACTGTCATTTGAAAGCTTGAGCTCTCCTTCCTGTCAGGGATCATCCTCTCCAATATAGGAAATTTCTCCCGATAACAGCTGGCCCCTACTCAGGGACTCAGAAGCTACTGACATCTCAAAATTGCAAGACTACCACCAAGACTGGAAATGTCTAGCTCCGGGTCATCCACTCATGTATAGAACAAAACAAAATCAACCTTTGTTGTTTTTTGCTACAGTCTCATCCAGGCCTCTCAATGTATTCTATTTGCCATCTCAGGGCAGCAGTCATTTCTGCCAGGGGAGAGAGTTATAGTTCATAGTTTGGGGGTGAGAGTGGAAACTTTTGAAACTGATACAGTATCCCTGCCTATCCTCAGCTAGTTAACCTGGGTGTCATTGGCATATTTGTTCATATGCCCAATTCCAGAAATGTCTCTGGGCTCCTGGGGAGAATTAAGTGTAGTCCTTTCAAGAGCCTCTCCTAGTGACTTACACCAAAGAATCATGATGAAATCTATGTGTCTGGTTGGTCTCTCAAATTACAAAATAAAACAAAATTCAAATAGTCCCCATCAGCATAGTTGTTAAATGATTTTAAAATTCCAGGAAACTGCCTTGATTTATATTTCTCTCTCTTGGGATCCTTCATGACATTTCTCAACCAACTGGCTATATTCAGGACCAAGGCCTTCTTGATCAGCTGCATTGCTATTTAAAAAAAAAAAAATTCAAAACCAAACAGTTCTTTCCCCATTCACACACAATTATGACTTCCTTAAAGTGATCTTCTTTCCATATATTTCCCTAGAAGTAATTAGGTGATGACTATTAGCGTACAAAAACATCAGGTCTCTATCAGGGCAGGACACATCTCTTTTTTTCTGCAATTGTGCCTTTGTACTGGTGAGGGAGGGAAGAATCCTTTTCAACCCCTCTAAATTCAGTCCCACTTAAAGGCTTAGAAGGTAAACTGAGTTCTGAGGAGAACTTGGAGGAGGCTTAAATGACTAGGCTGGAAAGCCTAGGAGCATAGCTGGAGAGCTGAAAAGAGAGTTTACCACAATTATCTTCAGGGTACAGTTCTTACGGATATAAATCATACATCAAATTCTCTTTGCTGAATGGCCACAGGCAATTGATTCTCTGTTTCCTCAAGGGTAGAGGCCAGCAAACAGCATCTCTAGAGACATTCATCAGATGCATGAAGACCAACTGGAGTTTAACTTTCTTTGCATTACCCACTACCTACTCCAATAAATATTTTTGCTCCAATATAGCACCACTAGACCAATTATTCTGGGCTGGGCCTATTTTGGGATGGGGGAAAGGAAGAAGAGTGGGAAAGAGCACTGGTTCTGGAGTAAGAGGCCTTGGATTGAAATCCTACCCTGGATGCTTATCGCCTATATGACACTGTCATTTATCCTCCCTGGGCCTCAGTTTCCTTATCTGTAAAATGAGTTGGTTGAACTAGATGGGATCTGAAGTCCCTCCAAGTTCTAGATCTGTGATACTGCAATTTAAAAAAATGATAAACACCAACTGCAGAACCAAAATGGCAAGGTAAAGGCAGAGACTTGGCTGAACTCTCCCAAATTTCCTCCAAACAACATTAAAATAATGCCTCAAAATGAATTTTAGAGCAGTAGAACCAACAAAAGGATGAGGTGAAATAATTTTTCAGCCAAAGACGGCTTAGAAGGTCAGCAGGAAAGGTCTATCTCACAGTGGAGCCAGTCCAGCATAGGCAGCACAAGGCCAGCAGCACATCTTGGGGGTGACTGAGTCAGCAGTGGTGGCTTCAGCCCACAGATGGTAAGGGAGTTGGACGACTGATCAGAAGGAGATTACAGGGGACACTTGGCTGGTACTAGGAGCAGGACTCTGTTGCATTGCCCATATGCAGTTCTGGGTAGCAGTCCCAGGGTAAGGAGGAGCACTAGCAGGAGCAGGGATCCTGGTCATAGTTTTGGGGCAGAAAATAGGGCTTGTGGTCCCTCACAGACCAGAGCACTGGCAAAGAGAGCAGTGACCACGCCTCTCTTTAGATTACACCACTTTGGAAGAACTGAAAACTTGCAGACCCTCACAACTAACTCTAAAAAGGCAGCGTGAAAAACCTGAAACTTGGGAAAGGGCTTCCTCCACCCTGGGAGGAGAGAGAGCCCAAACTTAACATGAAGTTAAAAGTCAAGAAATAGGCTGGAAAAATCAGCAAACAACAATAACAAAAAAAGAACCTGACCATAGGAAAGTTACTATGGTGATAGGGGGATTAAAAAACCTCAGAAGAAAACAAAGTCAAAACAGCTACCTCCATAGCCTCAAAGAAAAATGTGAATTAGTCTCAGTCTCTGGAAGAGCTCAAAAATAATTTAAAAAATCAAATAAGAAAGAAAGAGGAAAAATTGGAAAACAAAATGAGAGTGATGTAAGAAAATCATGAAAAAAAGAGTCAACAGTTTGATAAAGGAGGCACAAAAAATACTGAAGAAAAGAATACCTTAAAAAAAACAGAATATACCAAATGGTAAAAGAGGCACAAAATCTACTGAAGATAACTGCTTAAAAAGCAGAAATGA